AGGTCTGTGAACCCTGAAGCAAATATGAATATTGTAAGTTATTAGAAAATAAATGTTAGGCTGACAAAATAACAGTGAATGTTACCCATTCTATTTTTTAGTTTAATAGTCAGATTTATATTTCTGCACTCATATATTTTTATATAGGTCTAATATGTGAAGTCCAGAAAAAGTTCAGCCATTGTTAATATAATGAAAAGAGTTAGATATATGTATAGCCATATAAACATTTATTGATAAATAAATATTTTAAAATTGTATAAGGGTGAGTAGATAGAAATTTAAGTTATTAGTACTTAAAAAAGAATAATGAGGCCCTGGCTGAAGCTATGGATAGAGATCCTGGGTTGCAACCGAGCAGGGGACACATGAGAGGTTTTTCTCTCCTTTCTTCTTCCTCTCTTATTGTTAAAAAAAAAAAAAAGAATAATGAGTTAGTTCTGAAATATTTCCTTGGAGACAGAGGTCTATGCTTTTTATGTATTCAAGAATTCCTATTATAGAAGGTTGATGCTTAGTAGGTGTCTATAAATACTTATTACTGAATAAATGAGGAAATTGACAAAAATAAAAATAGATCTGAGGTTAAAAGAGAATATGAAAGTTCATTATTACATTAATAAGTTAGGTTAATTAATTTATATTAATTATCTTGCAATTTATTCTAAAGGTTTGCCTTTTTTTTTTTGCCTAGAGTCAAATTATTTCTTATTGGGGATATCCAGATGAAGAGTATGATATTGTAACTGAAGATGGTTATATTCTTGGCCTTTATAGAATTCCTTATGGAAAGAAAAAAAATGATGATAAATCAGGTATTATTCAATTCAAGATAAATCGTTGACTCTTTAGGGCCAGAATTTCTTAACATTTTTTTGTTTCTTCTCAGTGAGTTTAGGACAAGAAAAGGATCTGAATGGAAGTGAACAGTTTCCTTCCTCACACATCTCTCTGCATGCCCCAAGGAGAGTTTGATTTTCCACTGGCTTACTGTTCATAGAGTGGTTTTAAAATATGGTGCAACACCAGTTGTTTCTTCCAAATTTTCTTTGTGGATCACTTTACTCATACATGTTGTTCTCTGGGACTTGTTTAGTTAGTGGTTAGAAACACTCTGAACCATAATAACATTATTCTGTAGGACTGAAGAATGGCTGGGAAGATTTTTTCATAATTATGATTCTTTCCTTCAGTAATAGCAAAGAGATCAGGTGGGTAGCAGCCTCATGGCTCTTTATCACAACAAAAACTGGTTCACTAGCAGCAGAGTGAGGTGCAAAGAATGCACTAGCACTCATCACTGCAGTTATAATCCTCCATCTACCACTTACCAGAAGAATATGTAATAGGTTTCTTTGTTATTCATCTAATTGCTCAAATAAAAGCCAGTTTTTTTCTCTTTTGATTTTCTCCTAGTAAAGAATTTTTCTCCTATTATAGGATACCATCTCAAGTTCTCATTTTGAATATTAAGTATCTTTCAGAGAAGACACATTAATTTAAAACAGCCCCAATCAATGTAATTTTGGCTTCTAATAAAGATGACATCTACTAGACAGAAAGTGTTAACATAGATTTAACATAATTATAATAACCATTCCTTAGGGTAAGGCTTAAGTTTGCAAATCTTATAATAAAATATTTAAAGATAATTTAAAAATATAGTACATGCCTTAGAATTCTCTCTAAGCAGGGCAAGAGACAGGAATTCAAATGAATGTTATTTATTGATGGAATACCGTCAAGAGAAAGTAATGTGGAAATCAGGGTAGACCAGGCAAAGGAACTGAGGAGGGATGTGCCTCGGCTAAGTCTAGCTGCAGTGTGATCTCAGAGGACCTCAACGATTTATGAATTCTGCTCCCGAGGTGGACCCAGTTGTAGTTAGGGAACTAGCTTTTGCATTCCCATACCAGTCAGTGCCTGAGGCTACCTATAGAAAAAGATGTAATCTTTTGGGTGAGGCAATTCCCATTTGCTTGGGGACAGTTCTGCAGAGAAAGGGGCAATAGTGAACCCCTCAAAAGCAGTTTACAACAGCTAGGAGAATGGTGTACCTGCTTAGTAAAGGAAATCTAAGTGGGGCACCCAAATAATCTAACAGAACACATCCCTTGCACTACTCAGATTCACCTGTTTTTCACATTACACTTATTTCATTCAGGAACGGCTTTTCTAGAACTGTGGTAGGTCAGAATTTCTGGGAAAACTTATGAGAACAGGTTAGCAGAGCAAATTCCTACATCTGCTCTTGTAGCTGATTTTAATGTCCTAACTGGCACTCATAAATTCCCACCTCCACTACCCATCATAGACTTTCCTCCCTCCCAGTTATCTTTCTTGGAGAGGTAAGCCAGGCCCTCATTGCTAAGGAAGGATTACTACATTCATAACAGTTCATAGTTGCTGACTTGTACTTTTACACCTAAAACAAGGCATGGGAATAACAACAGATGCTCCAGAGAATCATCTGAATAACAAATATATTTTCTCTGTCATCAGCAGCCCTACCTCCTCACGATGATTAAGGCCATTATGGTAATTCTTTCCTTTGCTGGTAAGTCTTCTAGCTGGAGGAACCCAAAGTGAACAGGCAGCAGTCATAGCTCTAGATTTCTTAGGTTGATTTCTGTGAGCCCTGCTATAGGCATTTGCTCTCTGGAAACCAGGACCTCTAGATTGATAGGGCCTAAAATTGTGAAGACAGTAAGTGTAAGTCTCTAAAGGAGTTGCTGGGAGTGATAATGATCCTTAATGCCATTCCTTTTTTTTCCCTTGAAACTCATATATTCTACTAACTAGGGGAATCATCACTGTATTATGACCATGTATTTAGGGTGTATAATAAATCCTGAAGGACAGTACCCATACTTCCAGGATATAATACCCCAGCTGGCATCTCCCCTGAGCCCTCAATTTTTTGTTTCACTGTTTTACAAGGCTGGAAGTGTCTTGATTGTAGTTGAGTGGCAGGTGGGTTGGGGAGGGGGACAGTGTCCCATGTAGGTAGAGCAGACATGCTGTGAACTCTTGAATAGTGGTGCTGGCTATGATCCTGTGTGGAGCAAAAGGCAAATCATAGTAGAAATGTGTATCAGACCTACTCATAATGAATTGCTCTTTCCACGAAGACAAAGGGACTGAAGTATCCAAATTGACTCCACATTTCGTATTCATCTCCTTGAGGGTCGGTAGCATGTAAGATCTCTTTCACTGACAGGTCAGACATACTGCCCTGGCAGTAGCTAGGTCTGCCTTGGTGAGTAGGCCCACAATGATGGGCCAGTGTTTAGCCTCCATCTCTGCCATCATGGATATGCCTTTTTGAGAGTGTTGCACAGCAGTGGGGTTGCTAAAAACAGTATCTGGCTGATGTAAATTGGTTGAGTCTTCCAAAGCACTTGTTTGGTTAGTGTGCTCTGTGTAGTGTTGGTTGCTCTTCCTATCCCTTTCCTAACAACTCCCCCCCAACCCCCCACACACAGGTTAAATATTGTTCTACAAGGCCGATGGGTGTAGGGTTAGAGGAGAGTTTGTTGCCCCTTCTGCATAACTGCTATTTCCTCTCATAGGTCTATACCACAATAGAGACTTTTTCCAGTCTGTTCTGTGAGCTTCATGTAGGCTTCATGGGAAAGAGCTTGCAGCAGGGTGTAGAATTTCCCAGTATCTACTGCACCAGGAAGCTTCACCTGGTCTTCACTAATTACTTATTCTACCTGAGCTCTTCTGATTGTATGTCTCCCTTGTAGGGAGGACTTATGACTCCTCTCGCCCTGCAAGCACCTGTTTCTCTTAAGATTTTGGTCCAGATTTGTGCTTTGTGACATTATGTTTTGATGAGTTTTTAAAAGTTATGAATTTGAAGCTAGTTTTTTTATAAACGTGTGAGTGATTCTTCTTCCAGTTATCTCAAAATGAAAGCAGAAATTCTCCACTTCTGAGATGTTAAATTCTGCTGCTGTTCTCACCAGTACATTAAAAAAAAAACTTGGTAGATAGAACATCCTCCAAGATCTCCCAAGGCACCTTTATCAGTTGGTGGGTGTTCTGTTCCTATTTAATAAATTTAGCCTACCTACATCTAAACCCTTTTATCCTTTCCTTCACAATTTGCTGCTGCAATTCTGAAATTTTCTAAGCTTACAAGAACCCTTAGCAGAGTATTGGGACTGACTTTAGGAAACACTGTCAGTTTCACTTCAGTAGATGATGATCAGGTGAATTGTGTGTGAATAACAACTTGGGGGTGAAAACCCAAGTTACTAGTGAGCATGCCTTACACTATTCAAAAGATGGTATTTCTCAAAAACCTTAGATGTATAAAGCAGGGTTCTGGGAATTCTGTTAGATGAGTAACACACAATTGTAATGATGGCGCCTATATTAAATATGGCTGATAAATGTGATAATAAAATTGTTTCATGAAATGAAAAGTGGGAAAATCATATAAATGTTATATATATAATATATATGCCCAAATTACTATTACATACAGTGGTACCTCCGTACTTGTTAATCTGGTCCCATGAGTAGCAAGCCAGTGATGAGTGATGAAGCATTATTTCTTGTGGGGTGGCGTCATGGCTCATACAAGTTTTAGCAAGTGTAATGAGTGGCAAGCAAGCACCAAGTGCTGAAATTTCTTTCTCATCAAAATGCAACATGTACCGGGTTTGACGAGTTCTGGAGCCGAGTACTGAGGTACCACTGTATTTGACTATCCTATATCCTTAAAGTTTACATGTTTAAGTGGGACATGACCTAATTGCTTACTTGGTTACCTGAAAGAAACTCAGCACTGAACTTTGTTAAATGATTCTGACACAGAGAGGGATTAAACATTATTAACTTAGCCTATTTATATCACTTTTGAAAAGTGTTTAAACTGTAATGTATTAAAAGATTGAATTTCAGATAAGATATTCATGTAAACATTACAAAATTTAAAAAAAAAATTTGCATTTTTTCCAGCTCAGAGGCTTGTTGTATACTTGCAACACGGTTTGCTTACATCTGCCAGCAGCTGGATTTCCAATCTTCCCAACAACAGCCTGGGCTTCATTCTGGCAGATGCCGGTTGTGATGTTTGGATGGGGAACAGCAGAGGGACCACCTGGTCCAGAAAACACTTGTACCTAAAGACAAATTCCAAAGAATTCTGGGCTTTCAGGTACAAATAAAATCAAGAAATGTTTCATTTTATTTTATAAATGTATTAAACATTTTTTAGTGAAATTTTTAAGAAGTCTCCTCTCTCAACTAAGGGCTTTTAATTGACCTTACAATCAAGAGTGCTTGATTTTAAACTTGTTTCTCATTTTGCAGTGGTAAGCCTTACAGTAGGCTACTGATTCCTCTAACTACCCTTTCACCCTGTAACCTACATTTTAGTCTAATCTACTATCCTTGGAAAATTCAAATACCCTCTTTGTCAGATTACTTTGGGACAATTTCATTTCCTGGACGAAGTGCTCTCACAGAAGTCTTTATTCGGTTGATGCATTTCATTATACGATATAACTTCTTGATCATACCCAACAAGAGTTGAAAATCTCTTTTACTCATCTACCTATTTATTACATTCAAATGTTAATGTAGCATGACTACAAATTGCATTTTTCTTTTTCTTTTGTAGTTTTGACGAAATGGCTAAATATGACCTTCCAGCCTCCATTGATTTCATTGTGAAGCAAACTGGACAAAAGGAAATATTTTATGTAGGCCACTCACAGGGTACAACTATTGGTATGGCAAGAAAGATTAGTGCCAGTATTCCTTAGTTACATCTTACAAATTTGTACATATGCTTCTTAAGGATGTAGATAAGCTTCCAGACCTATAAGTGAAACAAGGCAGAATTGAGACAAGCATTACATAGCAATGCCCTAGGAGCTTATGTCCTGCTTCAATTCCACATAGTCTTCTCTAGTCACAAAGAATTAATTGTATAAACAAGGTTGTTTCCAGTTGTATAACAATTGGATATTCATCTTAGATCAAACTGAGACCATAACTATCACTTGTTTCACAAACAGGACTTTCATAATTTTTTAAAACTATAGCCTAAGGCTTTATGAGTGAGAGACTTGAAAAGGATGTTTATATTTCGGCATTTAGAATAAATTTAAGAAATACTGTATACAAAGATGAGAAAAAAACCTTCCTCTACTTGAACACATCTAGAAAAGAACTCTCATCTCCTTACAACACTAGTGCTTCTGTCTAATGAGTAACAACTTACCTTTAAGAAAGTGTTTCCTAACATAAGTTCTTACATGGGATTGTAAGCCTGCTTATTTAAAGTTACTCTTTCTATTTTGGAATTAGACAACTTTATAATAGAAGGTACTATTAAATGAGTCCTTTTCAGCCGAAGAGTATCACTTTCTTAAAGAGATTATCTTCCTACGAGAAAAAGTATCTTGAATAACAATCTATTCCTAATTTTCACAGATATTCTCCCTGACATTTATTAACCATGCGTGTGACTTTTAGTCCAAGTTTTCATCAGCTCTTCAGTTCTGTGGAACTAAGAATCTTAGAAAATTATTAAATTTAAAAAAGTGTGATATGTCACCCAGAGCTTATTGACTCATAATAAAATATATAATTTTTGGTCAATTTTTTATTTGACTTCTTAGAACCCAGGGAGAAAAAAATCAATACAAGTAGATACCTGCAAGTACATCGCTTGAAGTTACTATTATAACAAATAGAAGTTGTTCCCTAAAAGGAATAATGACTGTAAATTATCAGCACAATATAAAGTAGTATTTAGTATTTTCTGTACTGGAAGGCAGAAGAGTTTTTAAATATGTTAATGGTAAACATTAAAACAGTTTGACATTTATTGAATTTTTCACCTAAAGTGTAAGATTCATTTACCTGAAAAATTCACTAACCACATTTTTGCCATTGTCATTCACACAAATAATCAATATTTTTCTCTGATTTTTAAATTATGATGTTACAAGACTGATTTATTGATGAACTATCATCATTTATGGTCTGGACACATTTTTAATGCTAATAATAAAGATTATGTTGTGACCAATATGTATCTCTCATGCTGGCTTATCAGGAAATATTTGATAAGTAAATAAAAAATTAGTAAAATAATTGGTTAGAACCTACCGAACTTTTATTCACCACAGTGTCTTTTCTTACATGCTAGTAATTAAGAATAGTTCATTTACATCATTTTTTTTCAGGTTTCATAGCATTTTCCACAATACCAAAGATAGCTGAAAGAATCAAAATATTTTTTGCCCTAGCACCAGTTTTTTCCATTAAATATGTAAAAAGCCCTTTAATTAAAATGGCGTACAAGTGGAAGTCAGTGATTAAGGTATGTTACTTATTTCTTTTATGTTGTTGTTCACCCCAAAAGACAATGATTCTTACTCTCAAAACATAAAGTCTTAACTAGGCTTGCATGGGGCCACATGCATGAACTGATTTTTTGTTTGTTTGTTTCATTCATACTGGATTCTTGCCTTTGTTTTTAAAAAAGAGTAGTATACTAATTGTGGTACTTTAGAGCATCTCGGTGTGAATGAAAATCTAGCAGTCAAATCATATCTGAATTCTGCTCCTCAGTTTTGTCCTTAATTTAAATGCTTTAACCTACTGTGAGATACTGCATTAAGTTATAAACATAGTGAACTCACCAAATCATTTCTTGATACATTATTTTCCTCTTCTAAATATGAATAAAGTAAATTTATTTACAGGTATTTTGGGGCAACAAAGACTTCTTACCTCATACCTCATTTAAAAGAATTATGGGCTCAAAGCTATGTCCACTAAAAATTTTTGGTAAGATTTGCCATGATATCTTGTTCATGATGTATGGATATGACCTGAAGAACTTAAATATGGTAAGAACAAGTTGTATGTATTTAAAACACATGTTGTCAATTTTTAGAAAGCAGCTCTTAATAGAGTTTATTTTATGCTCTTGTGTGTCATTTCATGATTTATCCATATATACTAGGAGTTAGATTCCTTGCTCTTCTGATTCTGTGTTCATGCCAGTATTGTGACACTAATTTGATTTGCATATTGGGATTGTTTTGCTTTCATATTTGTAAAGAACAGAGAGAAGCTGTTGTGATGGGCATCTTCATTAACCTTTGCTATTACACTTAATAAAGTGTTAGTTTCCTGTGGTTTATTGCATTTAGGTTGCCTTCTGTTTACTGGTTACCCATTTCTCCTCCTCTTATATCCTGGTTCCAAACATGTTATCTTCCTTGTTGATCCTTTCGTAATTAGAAGTGGTGCCTGTCAGTTACTTACGTGGCTTCTTGCATTCATCAAAACCCTAGAGTGGGAAACTGGTATTCAAGCTACCACTACCAAGTCCATTTGGATTGACTGTCTGTAGATTCTCTTAAAGATGTAGGTATTCATTCTAAAATTTTTCATTAAATAAAAAATCCAGGGTTGGCAGAAGCAGTTGTGGCATTTGGACTAGTGGTTTGTTCTTGTACCTGGACCTTTTAAGAACTTTTCAATGAAAACCAATTTATTCATTCAGTGAGAAAGGTGGAGGAGAGAGATTGATTTTCTCTTAGTTTCCAAATACATTCTCATACCACAAAAAAGCTGGTTTTATTCAACCTCAAGACCTTATCCCAGTCCAAGAGAACTGTATATACAATAGTATAAATTTGAAAGAAATAGTTCATAATAGAAGAAATGAACTCATTTCTCTCCATTTGCACATAAAGGTGTGAGCAGTATAACTTAGCCATAGGAGTCTTTTTTTTAAAGACTATTTCAATACCCTCCCTTTCTCATATTATTGTGTCCATGTAGTATTATGTACCCACCATGGAATGACTGAAAGAATGCTATCTTTCAATCATGAAAATAATATAATCATAAATTTAATCTGAAGTTTTGCTTGCCTCATTCATTCATTCTGTGTGTTGGGTAGTATATTTAGTATTGCTATATTTTCTGTAATTATACTGTGGTTTCTTTGAAAACTTTTTTTTTTGTGAACTATAAAGGGAGATTCTACTCTGGTTTTTTAGCCTTTAACTTTCTGAGTCTCCCTCCTGGAACAAAAGTCGACAGTACATAGGTTGTAATATGGTTGTGTCCTGAGTTATGCAGCATTGGGAATGTTAAAACAGAACAATTTCACACAGACTGTATATGGGAATAGAAAGAGCGATAGTATATTTCTGTTAGATTCAGTCTTCTTGAGCCTGTCAAAATCTATGTGGGAAGATAGGGTCTGACTTAGAATTTCTTTCCTGTAGTCAGCATGAATAACTGACAGAGAATCTAGTGGTTTGTAACAAGGCAGTGAATGGAATCAGGCCAGTGTCACTCAGGAATAGAAAACCAAATAAGAAAACTAAAGCAAGCTATCATGCAAGGAAGAACAAGTGGCAAAAAGCTTTCACCAAAATAACTAGGAAAACATATCACCAAACAATTCAGAATTTTTACTTTGTTCAAGTCACACGATTCTGTGATGATGGCTTACAAAAAACTAAATTCTAACACTTATAAAGAGCCCGAGATATCTGAGTACAGTAGTCTATGGTTTGTGGTTATGATTTGAGTCCCTTTAGGGAATAGATTTATTCTTACCTGTCAGTTAAAGTTAATGTAGAGACTTTGTAAACATTTCAGATTACTCATGGAGACAGAATAATGAGCATTTATAAAAGCTACTTATAATCTTCTTTTCCCAGGACAATGAATGAGACAAGGTGTTTTTGGTTGAGTAAATCTTCAGCCCACGCCAGCTCACCAGTAATGGTGACCATGAATGTTAGTATATCCAGAGTATCCCATCCAAGACAAACAGTCTATTGGAGCTTATTTCAAGCACAAGGAAAAATTATGATTAGAGGATACAACAAACCCCTGAGAGTAAAGTAGAGAATGTGTTAAAAAGCTTTACACAGGACATTTTAAAGGGTTTTATCAGAACTTTACTCTTGCAAGTTCCAACTCCCTTGAGTTGCAATGAAAACAGATTTTCTTTTAAGCCCCCCAGGAAGCCAAATGGCAAAAGCTTTTAAAGAGGTGACATAATGAAAATACATAGAGAATTTTACTTCTGGCCATGAGTGAATAGCCGAGTGTAGCATTACCCTCTGAGCATAAATAACTAGGTAATTTGGAACAAATTTATAAGAAAATATAGAACAAAATATCTCAGGTATGCAAGTCTGGTTCCACATTCAAAAAATGTGTCCATCACATCAGAGGGTTTAAAGGGAAAAAAAAAATCACATGATTATATAAATAGAGGTAGAAAAAGCATTTGACAAAATACAACACTCATTCATGATAGAAAAAAGAAAGAAAACCTCTCAGTAAACTAGGAATAGAGGGACACTGCCTCAACTTGATAAAGAACTACAAGAAAACTACAACTTACATTATACTTTGTGGTGAAAAACTTGCAGTTTTTCCACTGAGAACAGGTACAAGGCAAGGATTTCTCTGCATGACTTCTCTTCAGCATCATGTAGGACATCCTTGCTAATGTGGTAAGGCAAGCAAAGAAATAAAAAGGTCTACAGACTGGAAAGGAAGACATAAAATTGTCTTTGTTTTCAGATAATAGGACATCTGTGTAGAATAGCTGGAGAGTGGACTAAAAGCTCCTGGGAACTAATGAGCAATTATGGAAAGGGTTGCAGGTTATGAGATTAATACTCAAGAGTCAGGACGCTCTCTCTTCAATTTAGTTGTAATTCCAGACTGGCTGTGGGAGGAGGTCAGCGTGGCTTCCACTCACCACTCCACCACCTTAAATCTCTCTTTCTAAAAATACATTCTTCCTTTCTTTCTTTTTCTATCCTTTCTTGCTTTCTTTTGAATTAAAAATTATCATTCATTTTTTCTTTCTGAATTTTAAGTTAGATATTGTATTATTTTCAGTGATTTCCCTAGAAGTAAAATATGCATAATTTGCAAATGTAAAGTTAATCAATATTTTATGCTTCTCATAGGTAATTTGAGTATCTTGAGCCACTTTAGCACCTATATAGCCTCTTTCTTATTTTTGTTGTTTAATTTTAAAATTTTATTATATTTTTAAACATCACCACTTATTATTATTTATTAGATGTTCTCTACTCCCAGATATTTACTGTTTTGTTTTTATTCCTTCTTCCTGAGGTTCATCCTTGAGAATTTTTATTAATGAAGGTCTGTTGATGGCTAATTCAGTCATATTTTGCTTACCTAGAAATAATAGATTTCATACGGAATAGCTAGAAAATGTTATATACTAATTCATTAAATGATAAATTATAATGCTGTTTAAAATAAACTGAATCTACACTAATCATTACTTTGGAAGCAATGAGTATGAAAGAATAGCTATTAAAATTTTAATTCAAAATCAGATACAAATCAAAACTATCGATCAATAGTTGTTCTAATTCAGAGTATCCAAACATGCCACACATATAATTTCAGTTTTATTTATACAGCATGAAAGGATGCTAATAAAGATTTTCTATTGCTATTAACTGTTAATATGTTTATCAATAAATGACAAATATTAGCAACCAAGGTCAAATCTGATTTTATTAAATTTGATCTTTACATTTTCCCTCTGGCTTTCAAATGAGCAAACCACATTAGATATGAAATTTAGCTAAGGTAGGATAGTATGAAAGAAATGCACAAACTTTGAGGTAGACAGACTTGGGTTCTAAAAGTTTAAGACTTTTGTTATACTCATACCATTTTTACCAGCTGCTTATTAACTCCTTCTTTGCTCTAATTATTATATCTTTATTTTATCTTCCCAAATAAAATAAATAATTTTAGGGTCAATATTAGGACTTTTATTTCTTATATACCAAACACAGAGCTATACATTCTTGAATACAGTATTTTTAAAAATATCTTATTCACTGATTGATGTTCCCAGAGACTGTGTAGGCAGACCTAGATTACAGATTGACATGAGGCTGCTATATTTTTTAATTAGCTTCACTTTCCTTGTGTAAAACTTTGGGCCCCCAGTTTATCATGGAAAAGGTTTCTTTTTAAATCTCTAACTGCCTTGGGAGGCCCTCAGCTGATTTATATTTTCCTCAGCTAGCTAAGATCTCAAAATGAAACTTCAAATTCTTTGAAATAAAAAAAAATTAAAAAAGACACTTTAGAGTTAAATTGAAAAAAATAGGTGTGGGTTTCGCCGTCTTTGAATGCAAATCTAGGAACAGTCTGAATAATTCTTGAAACAATACAACTGGAACAAAGTGTAAAAATAAATAAATAAACAAACAAACAAATAAATAAATAAATAAAGTCAAAAAAATTTCTTTGAAATAACATTAAGGAAAAAGTGGCCGTAGTTTGCTGTTCTCCTTGGGTTCTTAGTTACTTTTTTCATTTGTACGGGTAATTTCCTTCTATTTTTTCTGCTCTTTAGTGTTTTCAAAAGGTGTGTTTGTGTGTGTTCCATCACTTTGGGTTGTTTTCAGTGTTGGGTAATAGACCACATAACTTAGAAAATAATAGCTTCTACCTTAATGCAGAAATTCTAAAATTGATAAGTACACTTATATATTTATTTAAATGTAGGGGACCAGTTTGTCTTAGCCTGGCAAATGTGACTCAGCTCTGTATGGAAAACCTACAGATGCAAAGTGGTGGGCAGGAGCCAGACCTTCAAACCGAGTTTTCTTGTGGGAATCAGGCCTAGAAAATACAGACTGTTATGGCTTGCTCTTGCTAAAACTCCCTCACCCTAGTCTAAAGCAACAAATGTATATTGTTTATCCTCAAGGTAACTCCCAAAACCCGTGTGAGCTCTCCCAAGGACAGAGCTAATGAGCTCATTGCCATCCCCCTCTGCAGGCTATTTCTATTTCCTTGATTGTACCTAGGATGTAGATAATAATGCTCTGTGTGATAGATAATAAATCTTTCTATGATGTAAGACCCCAGGAAGACAATAAAGCCTGTCTTGGCAAGGGTCATGGCACTCCCCTCTTGAGGGAGTAGCCGAGGCACCATAGACACTCTGCCCTTGAGAGAGTAGTCGTGCCTGTTCCCTTCTTCCACACAGGGTTGTTGTCGCCTGTGCATTGATTCTTGCCATAAACCACAACAGACGGACTCTGCTGGACAGGGTCTGCAACATTTAAATATAGTTTTATATGTATTATTTATTAATTTTTCTGAAATTGTTTAATTCAATAAATATCAAAGATTACACTTTTTATGGTTGGACTAAGAATAAAAATGATTTTTTCTTCCCTCAGAGTCGTATGGATATTTATATGTCACAAAACCCAGCGGGAACCTCTGTTCAAAATATACTCCACTGGACTCAGGTATAACTTTTAAAGTACATTTCAGTACAAGTTTATTATATTATCCATGGGTTATCATATCATTCTAGGATTCATGCCAACTGTTGTAAAATGACAAATTTGGAAGGATAGAAATAATTACACATTTGTAAAAAATATAGTTTATAATGTATTAATATAATTTATTAGACCCAATAATGCTAAGAAATGATAAGAACAAAATAATTCTTTTCAGTTTCACAGCTGAGAAAGTGTTCATTAAGAACAGTAGGATAGGAACCATCTAAGTCATGTCCATTCTTTGACTCGAAGGTTCAAAGCCATTCCTTTAAGAAACCAAACAAACAAATAAAACTAAGACTAGTTTTTCACAAGGTTACATTTTCTTCTCCATTAAATTGTGAACTCCATGAGGACCATTAGCACGTTTTGTCCATTTTTTTAATATTTGCAAAGCCAAGAGTTCTTGGAAAAGAGTAGATACTCAAAAATATTTGTTGAATAAATATTGATGAAGAACAAAATTCAGTGTGAATATCATATTAACACTGAGAATCAGGATAATATCACAGAAAGAACACTATTCTTGAGATCACAATAGCACTGACTCTTTTCTCTGAACCTTACTATCAATGGTATTGAGTTAATCTCCTTCAATCTTATTAATTTAAAAAGTAGAATTAATAATAATTTTATGACCTAACAAAAATACTGTGAGATTAAATAGGATGATAATTATGAGTGTTCTTTAAAATTAATAAACACTAGGTAAGTTTAAAATGTCATTGAGATGTTGGTTAAGGACTTCCTCATTTAAAAATGTTTAAATCTATTAAGTGATTGTTTAAGAATAGATTATTAAAAGTATTATTTTTATTATTTATCCTTAATTTAGTTTATACCTAGTCGTAGCTAGACCAGGAAAATCTGAACAGCCTTTGCATTTATTCATCCAATGAAACTATATTTACTGAGTACTTACTATGCATTCTATACTGTCCTATGCTCGTGGTATAAATCAGTGAACAAAAATCTATTTGTCTTCCTTAAGCTTAAATCCTAGTAGTAGATATACAGACAGTAAACAATAAAAATAACAACTAAATTATTAAAATGTTAGAAGGGCCTAGAAGCTATGAAAAAATGAGAGGAAACTGGGGGGAAAAGATTAGGCATGCTAGGTCTAGTGGATTGTATTTTTCAATAGAAATGTTAGGCCAAGCCACAATGAGCTGGTGACCTTGGAGAAAAGATTTAAAGGAGATGAGAAAGTTAGCAATGTGAAAATCTGGGTAAGAGTGTTCTAGACAAAAGAAATAGCTAATACCAAGCCCCGAGTCAGGAGCCTTTCTGAAAGGCATCAGTAAAAGGTCTGTCTGTACGACTAATGTGAGTGATTTAAGGGAGTGAGTCACAGGAAAAGGCAAAAAGGCAATGGGGCAACAGAAAGGAACTTGTATGCCATTGCAGGGACTTTGGCATTCAGTATGGTGTGGGGAACCCCTGCAGGTTTTTGAGCAGGAAGGTGACATGGCAGGATGTAAATTTTTTAAAGGATACTTTAGCTGCTACATGAGTAGACTATAGTGGGGCAAGGGTAAGGGCAGTGATCAATTTTCGAGATTATTTTTATTCTCAAAACCCAAACAGTAATTAATAATGGCTTGCACTGATATATTCCTACTAGAGGTGGTGAAAATGGTTAGATTCTGAATATGTGTATATTGTACACATGGAGCCAACAAAATTTAATGATGGATTATATAAGATGTGAGAAGGAAGAGTCTTAGATAATTCCACAGTTTTTGACCTAAGCAATGAAATGATAAAATTGCCATTAAAGGAGAAAAAAAGGTCTGATGATAGAGTGGGCTTGATGGGGAGCTAAGATGTTCTCTTCTGGGGTTGTTAAGTATTAGACATCCAAGTGATGAATTTGAATAATTTGAATAAGCAGTTTTGTATAAAAGTCCATAATTTAGAAGAAACTTATAAAAGGAGAAAAACATTTGGAATATGAATGACATTTAAAACCAAGAAACTGGATGAGAACACAAATAGAATGAACACAGAGAAAAGCAGCAAGGATTGACTGCTAACACATGGAAGATTAAGAGGTCAGAAAGAAATGCATAACACAGAAAACTAAAAAGAAACAGTGAATGAAAATGAAGATCAAGAAAACGCTATTCTAGAAGGTAATAAAGAACTCGAGAAGGAGTGAATGAACAGTTGTGTCAAATACTGCTCATACATGAGAAACTATCTCAGAATTGACCAAAATTTAAAAAATATCTAGATCATAATTAACCTTGGCCAGTTTTGGTAGAAACAAAGATCTATAAAAAAATGTTCTCGGGGAAAATCATGTGTTCAACAGAGCAAGGAGATACAGAGGTCTATTAGATAAGAGTTTTAAGATCTAAACTGATGAAGGAATTCCAGATCACAAAGAGAGTTTTTGTAGTTGGGAACCAATTGGAAAGATAAAATGGGTGTGGGGGGCATGGTGGTGTGGAGACTTACAAGGTTTATAGTATCAGAGAAGATGGGAACCTGAGACTCTACATTTTCTTGTAATAAAAACATAATTAAGGAAGAAAGTGGACATAATCATATTAGGCCAAATAAGCTTGGAGCACACAGTGGTAGTGAGAATATGAGTGTTAAGCGTGAAGCAAGCATATTCAGGGAAGTATCATGTTAATCTTAGATCACTTAGTGTTAGACACTCACTTTTGACATCTGTGAATGAAGCTAAGGATTTCTGGTGAAGCCGAATGTTACCCTAAACACACAGGCCCCCCCTATAATAAGATAAAAGGCCTTGGAGTGATGTGCATTTAAATGAAGAAGATAGATTCATATTCTGTTGAGCCCCCGGCCCCCAACTGCCACCTCTTCCACCCATAATCCTATGCAAAGGAAGGGAGGAGCAATGAAGGTCACCTGCACATATACCAACAGACCCAGTAAAAAGAGGCCATATGTACAATGCATTCCTAATTTGTCTCTACTGCTCCTGTGATGAAAAAAATGAATACAGTCTTGCTTTTTTATTTTTCTTTCAGCTTTTCAATTCTAGTTACTTGAAAGCTTTTGACTGGGGCAGTCCTGCTCTGAACTTGGTTCATTTTAATCAGGTACATAATTATATGTAAACTAAAAACTATGTCTGTGATCAATTCAGAATATCTTGCTATAGATAAAGGCTCATCCATAAAGCCCAAGAGTACAATGACACAGTAAGAAAGAGCAGTAAAGATCATGTTGCTTTGGATTCATATTGTCACATCCAGTCAAAGTGACTTTTCCACGTTTTCCTTTTTAACATATTATTTTATTTTTTAATTGAAAAATATTTTCATTGTTGTCCAATTACAGTTGTCCCCATTTTCCCTCTCATTACTCTCCCCTCCCCTGCCTGCTCCCACCTGCCACATTCAGTCTCCCTCCCAACTATTGCCTGTGTCCATTGGGTCCTTTTTACATGTTCCTTGACTTGTCCTTGTCCTTTTTCCTATTATTCCCCTTGCTCCCTCTCTTCTGGTTACTGTCAGTTTATTTTTTTTATTTTCATGTCTCTGGTTGTATTTTGCTTGCTTATTTGTTTTGTTGATTAGGTTCCATTTATAGGTGAGATCATATGGTATTTGTCTTTCACCACTTGGCTTACTTCACTTAGCATAATGCTCTCCAGTTTCAACCATGCTATCATGAAGAATAGGAGTTCCTTCTTTCTTTCTGATGCATAATATTTCATTGTGTAAATGTACCACAGTTTTTTGATCCACTCATTTACTGATGGGCACTTAGGCTGTTTGCACTTGGCTGTTGTAAATAACACTGCTATGCTTTTACGTGTTTTCTACATATTTTAACAAATATCTTATAGAAGCCTAGAGAAGTTGACAGGCAATAGAATAATTGATCATCCTGCAAGAGAAAAAAATATTGTTTGTAATATACATAGTTCTATGTTTGCTTAAATAAGAAATAAAAAGTGTAATATTGTTCTTGACCCTAAAACTATTCTATTGAGGAAGCTAAGATAAATGCATATAATAATTAGGAAAATATAGAAGTTAAAGCAAAGTTGGTAAAAAAAATAGTATGAGTATAACAGAAGCCCTGGACTATTAAAACCCAAGTCTATTTGTTTCAAAATTTATGGTTTTCCACTCTATTTTTATTCATTAGCTAAACTCCATGCCACATGTGGTTTGCTTGTGTAAGGTTTGAAGTAACATAAACATCAAATTCAGTAACACCAGATTTGACCTTGGCTACCAGTATTTATTATTTATTGATAAACATACTGGCAGTCACAGAAAATTTTGATTAACACACTTTCATGCTGTGTAAGTAAAACTGAATTTATTTCTGTGAAATGTTTGGATACTCTGAATTAGAACCACCTATCTAGTTTTGATTTGTATCTGATTTATTTCTAAGTAAAAATTGTAATAGCTATTCTTTCACATTCATTGCTTCCGTAGTAGTAGTTATTTAATTCAGGTCATTTCTAAACAGTTTTTTTTAATTTAACACTTAACAAATCAGTAAATAACACTTCCTAAGTGTTATCCCTTGTGAAAACCCTTATATGTACTCATTTATATTTAGACAACTGCTCCACTGTACAACGTGACGAACATGAATGTGTCAACTGCAACTTGGAACGGTGACAGTGACTTACTGGCTGATCCTGAAGATGTTAACCTTTTACTTTCTGAAATCAGAAACCATATTTACCATAAAACTATTTCTTATTACAATCATATAGACTTTTTGTTTGGATTAGATGCATATCATCAAGTTTATCAGGAAATCATTGATATTATCCAAGGCAATCTATAAGAACCATGGTGCTTGTTTTGAAGGATCTATATAATATTTAATAAAAGCCAATTATTTTTCCTTACTATGTATGTATTTCCAGTTATTTAAATAAAATCTTAAAATTTCCCTATATTTTTCATTGCCCTCAAGCCTTCCATTTTTCAAATCAGTAGCATTTGTTATATCAGGGGAAATAACATAATAACTTAACCCAAAGAAATCTGTTGTGTTTCTAAATAGAATGTAAATAAGTGAAAAGAAAAATAATAACCTTGAATATTTTAACTGCAAGAGATAGTTTTTTGAGAAAGATGTGTTTTCTTTAAAGAGTTTATTTATTTATTTTTAGAGAGAGTATAAGGGAGAAAGAAAGAGATGGAGAAACATCAATGTGTGAGAGAAACATGGATGAGTTGCCTCTCAGACCACAACCCAGGCATGTGCTCTGACCAGGGATCAAACCAGCGACCCTTTGGTTCACAGGCCAGTGCTCAATCTACTGAGCCACACTAGCCAGAGTAAAGATGTGTTATTTTAAAAGAAATATGGGCATTTATGATATTATAAAAATAGATTTAGGAAGAATACTTGCTGATATGAAAGCTAATTTTTCTCTATTCTGAATGAAGAATAAAACACTTTTTGAGCTTGATGTAGGAGTTCAGGTGGAGAAGATAGTAAAGACATGTTGCCCACTACCACATTTTAGTCTAAATTCTAGAGGTAGAGAGACAGTAGGAGCCATAGAGGGGGTGTGTGTGCCTCACTCCTTGGGTGGATAGCCTGGGGAGACTGGATTTACCTGTCCAGCTTAGTGTGTGTTAAAAGTAGTGGTAGGTGCATATTTCTATGTAAATAGATCTGAGGGTGGCTTCACAAAATATGTCTAGTATCTTAGTGCATGAAAGATGCAAGAGCCTCTTACAGACCAGAAAAGCGCAGACATGTTTAACAGGGTACAGCAGATGGGAAGATATGGGATGAAGGAATACTGTCAGTAATTGCAACATATATTAAAGGAGCCACAGGCTGTGGTAAGACAATGGGTATGTCCAGCAGGTACAGAGCACACTGCAGATTTATGCTTCAGGGGAGGCCAAATTCTCTTCCTTCCAATTCCTAATGTATAATTTCACAGGCCTTTGGTAATCCCTGGGGAGAGCAATATGGAAAAGGGGAATTCTAGAACTGAGTGTGAATTTACCATATAAAGATTGAGATAAGCAATCTATTATTCTCTAAGTGGGAAAATTGAATTTTCTACCTCTGACAAAATGGAGGTTGAAAGCCAAGTCAAGTTCAATTAGTTTTGAAGCTGCAAAATTTGTATTTAACACATGGGTATGGACTTTAAAAATTGTTATACAAAAATAAATGGCATGTGGATAGATACTGAGAAAAAAATAAAATACATGCATATATTATTAATATAGCCAAGAGAAGGCAAACAATAACTTTAAAGATAATAATTAAGGCTAAAGATAAGTTTTTTCCTTTTTTTGGTAACCCTAAGGGTTAAAATAGGAGAGCACTGAGAATAGATATATATGTAGTGATCTCTTCAAGAATGTTAATACAGCATGTATTACTTAAAAGTTTTCAAATAATCCTTCAAAAAAGGCTAATGTAATAGGGTACTAATTTAGAAAAATTATTCTTTAGACAATAAGTTGAAAATAAAAACACATGTAACATATAAAGTGTTGTCTAAAACTAATAGAATATATTAATACTTTTAATCTGTTTTACCTACTTGGCATCACATGACACAGCCAAAGAAGACTGTTTTTCAGGCTTCTGTCATATATGAGATAATGATTTGGGGTGGCAGTGTCTGTCTATAAATTGTTAGAACACCCACAGGTTTTCTTCCCAAAGTAGTTTTTCATAATTCTATCCTAATATCTGTGTCCAAAATGTCCACACCTCAGCTCTCTACTTGCCTCTATTGTGGTAGGGACTCATAAATTTGCTTTGCCCAAGGGGTGGTGACAAAAGAGAAGAAGCAAGGACAAACCTCGGCAGGATTCGGGCTGGAACCTGTTGAATCTACGAGTCAGATCAACACCCTTATCTCCAAACCTACAGGATCAATTCAAGACCAACGGGCCAGGACAGTAACCAGCATCCAGACTGGTTTTTGTCCAGAAATTTTAAGCCACAGCTGTTTTTGTTTCTTCAAAAGAGTCAACAAAGAAGATCTGGTTTCAACAATCTATTTTACTGTTGTCTTAAATATTAGAAAGAGTTATTGTCTCTCTCCTAATCTAGTCTGTGTGTAAAAGGTCACCAAGCTTGCCAGGTATGTTGGACTACTGTCGCGTGGACCTTTATATTTTACTAATATGCAAGTGGTCTTTCTACTAGAAGGTATGGATTTTAAAGTCAACTCACTTTCACCAACAATTATAGTATTAATAAAATACACATTCCCTTCTAGTAAAGTATGGTTTTACAAAGATCTAATGTTACTTTTAAGTGTAATTATTTGTGAAAATTCTTTTCTTTCTGTGTATTCAGTTAGCCTATTCCCTCACAGTGCCAAGTGACTGACAGACATACCCCACTTACTCTGTAGATAGGGAAAGGTCTTACTGGATAACCCTAAGCATGTTAGCAACTTATCCTGTCAAATTCCTAAACTCACTCACCCTCTCTCTCTACCTTCTACAATCAATTGAATATGATCTGGGGACATGAAACATTTTGCAGCATTTATTACAAAATCATTGGCATGCTAAAAAATATTCCTACTAGATGCAAAGTTCTGGGTGTCATTGTCATTGGAATTGTTTTCTGAACACTATTGATTTATCTTTCATATTACTGTCATAGTATTCCTTGAGTTTTGCTCAAGAATCTAATGGAAGTAAAGGAGCTACTCACTTTAGAAATATACAGACTTAAATACACACACGTTTACATGGCTTCTAGAGGAATTAGAATGACAATGTAATCTCTTCAAAGAGATAAAGAAACTTTGGAATTTTATGAATACAATCAAATGGAGTCATTTCATAAGCACCAAGAGTTTTCTCATGAATTTGTGAACTAATGCATTTGTCTTTCAAATAGTCCTTTGTTTCTTCACAGCCCTTTTCACAGTGTATGAAAACTTTTGGGGACAAATGTTAAAAGTCCACAGTGTAGTTGGTGACCAAGCACCATGTAAACTTGTCCATATGATGTGTTAATGTTTTATTCATGGAATTTAAGATAAATGATGCTTCATTCTATTCTCCTGCTACACTTAGTATCTGCTGTTATTTTTGGGGTCAGAACAGTTTCCATGAAAGGCATG